GATGTTATTTGTAGCTGCAACACAAACAAGAAAACTGTAGTACAAAGATTAAACAACTTCATTATGATGGTGACAAAAAAAATCAAAGCATGATTTTTGATGTGCATCTAAACACTTCAGCTTCAGTCTCAGCTATCTTTCTTTTTGCATCTCCTAATAAAATATATTTTTATTTTTGTGCTCCATAAATCAGTTTTTTATTTTTATGTTGCCATGTCATTTTAATATGGCTTCTAGGTTCTCTCAACCTTACTGTTTTTAAGATCAAACATTTGCTTTGCCTTGCCTTTGAGGGTAGTTGGACCATGATCACTCAAGAACGTTTCTGCTCAATTCTGTTTGGTGCAATATAAACATATATGAAATGCATTATTTCTAATATCCTGAACAAACCAACACGGCTGTTATTTTTTTTTGTCTATTTAATTCTTTTACTACTTTTCTTACATTTATTGTGGTTAGGTTACTTATTCTGTTTTTGCACTGCCTTCATGAGCTGCTTGTCTGTAAATTTTTATGTGCTTCTTGTACAATGACAAAAGCAATTCTAATTCTAAAATAACAGTTATTTTCAATTTTATCAACTATGCTATATCCAAATATTTTATAATYTTCCTCAAATGCAAACCCTGTATAAGGTATTTTGAATACAAAAATATTGAATAAAGAGAAAACTGAAAAAGCAATATTTTCTTGTCTTGTTTTCATGACTTCGAGTTTTTTGTTTTCCCTCCAAGGTTTACAACATCTACAGATTTTCCCTGGTTTGAATTTGCATTGCTAGATTAAAGTTGCAACACTGGCACAGTAGCTGCTAGAACTAACTGTACAGGTGCAGCTAAAAGAACTGTTTAAATGTTTGGTCTGAGCAGAGCTGCAGCAGATCAGCTCCTCCTCATGACTGCATGGTGAAGCTTTGACAGTTACCTTCAGTAGGCTTCATCATGTGGATTGAAATGCAAATTTCATCCTTTTTTTTAGTGTTGTAACTGAATCCCCAACAGTATAAATAATGCAGAACTTCAGCTACGGAAAAACCCTTAAAAGCAATAAGCAGAAGAAGTTCAGTGGTTCTAAATTCATAAACGGAGCAGTCGTGTTGCAGAGTTGTTTGCTGGAGCAAACATCATTCTAGCACATGTTAGATTTAACAGATTGTTTTACACTCATTCAATAAAAGCAACACTGCTTGTTTTTGTGCCTCAACCAGCACCAATTTACAGACTTCTGGTATTTTTCTGTTTTATTATATCCCCTGGCTCAGTCATCTGAATTTATTGCCTCTAAATTATTTTGTTTTTATCGTACTTGAATCACTTTTTTGTCAATTTAGTTTCTCAGTCACCTCACCCCCACCTGATCCCGTTACCCTTTTCAGCTCTCACACTGGTGCCTCTCATCTTATTTATAATTATTTCTTTCTCTCAGCTCTACCCTTTTCCTTCCTCCTAGTTATACTTCCTCTTTTTTAAAACTATTTTCATCAATGACCCATCTTCAACTGTGCCCTTATTGTTCTGCCTCTGTGGCAGCCTTTCTAATAATCAAAAAGCATRTTTTATTGAGAGGAATGTTCCTCCAGTTCTGACTCAGGGTGATGAGCTGTCTTCTGAAATGAAGCCGTTTCTTCAGGTTTGACAACAAAACCTGTTGGATAAGAGCGACGGCACCAAGTGGGAGAAATAAATAAAAGAAGTGGGGAAAGAAAAATACAGAAGAGAGAAGCTGAACTTTCATTCACCTTACTGGACTCAGAGTTGTTGATTAAAGCCTGACATGAATCTGGGAGACAGCTGTGCACCAAATTATAGTGCTTTAAAATGTGTATTAGCATTTCTACAATGCAATCGTTCAATATTAGAACAAGAAAATGTGAAACTAATATATTATTTATGAAATTTAGCACCAAAAAAGAAAGTAAGTCAGGGTTAAACATGAAAGAGTTTGAGCTTAAGAGCAGATTCTTTCATTTAATAAACAGGATCAGTCCTTAACCTCATCATTTATAGTTTCAAATCTCCACCAGTCACTGTGTTTACCTTTTATTTCTCTCCATGTGCCAATTAGCAGCACTAATTCTGTTGTCTTTGTGTAATACAGAGCAGTGTGAAGAAACATTTGCACGCGCAGATGAAAGTGTATCCTGTTACCATCACCAGAGACACACAATCCAATAACTCATTTAGAGTTTAAACGTTTCGGCAAAATCAAATATTAGGCTGAACATGAAAAACTTCTGCACTTTGTGCTTCCATCTGCTCAGATTTTTATCTTAGAAACTCACTTTTACTCTTCACTTCATCCAGCTGAATAAATCTCGCTTTTGATGGGACTTTTATGGATTTTCATGAAGTGAGAAAGATCAATAAATTTCAAAGTATTTTTCTTTTAATGGAAAATATTCGTTTTTTTTTCTCCCCGTTTGGAGTTAAAGCTGAGTTTACCTTGTGGCTTTAGCTGTCAGAGACGGAGCAGGAGCCAGTTACTCTGTCGCAGTTCAACAGCCCAGACCCTTCTTATTAAAGCAGCACAAAAGACTAATTATTTCTGCAGCGCTTTGATTTACATACAATTAAAGTTTCATGTGAGCCCAGATAAAGCAGGAGGACATGGGGAGAGTGGAGAGCTGAGCGGGATGGAGGAGAGAGGGGATTAAAGGAGAAGCACTGAGGAGACAGAAGCAGAAAAATGGAGCAAAAAGTAAAAACATTTAAAAAAATACAACTTAGTGACAGAGAGGGTAAAGTGTTTGTGTGAGGAGAGAAGACCAGAGATCAGAGGAGTTTGGCAAGGGAAGTGATGACACAGCACATCCATCTCAGTGGCAGGTGCCTGCTGTCGCTGCTTTACTGAGGACAAAGGAGAAGAGATYTGCACCACAACAGGAAAACTACACCTCAGGGTGATTACTAAAAAAGATTATACTCAGAAAAATACACACAAATTTACTTAGAAGAATCCTCAAAAATGTTTAAGACGATGTACAAAACCAGACTGAAAAAAAAATCTGCAAAATTTAAATAACAGAATGCAATGATTTGCATTTAAATCTCAACCGTGTTTTCTTCACAGTGAAACAGAGTGAGCATCATGTTTAAACTAAGAAAATGTCATCTGGAAAATTACAGCTGCAAAACTTTTTTTAAAATGGTGTCAACGATCAAGAAGTATCCCCACTTCTTCTAACAGTCCAAACATCTGAGGAGAGCAGAGCAGAATGTTTCCTTCTCATGTAGGATTCCAGCTCCTCAGCAGTCCTGGGTCAGTTTGCTGAGTGTTTTCTGTTTCATGATGTGTCAAATGTTTTCAGCTGATACGAGGTCAGGACTGCAGGCAGGTCAGCTCAGATCTCAGACTGTTCTGTTATGAAGCCACACTGTTGGAATAAGCTTCCCATTGTGAAAAGAACCATGTCCACTGAGAACCTGGATACATATAAAGATGATCACAGCGCTGGGGTCCACCCCGTTTCAAAATAGCCCCGATCACAGAAACCCTGGTCACACCCACTGGGGTGGGCCCTCATATAACAGCAGTGGAATGCCTGAACCTTTATGCGTTTACACTGTTGGAGCGAGGCACGTGTTAAATACAGATTTGTTGAATATTTTACTATTAAAACAGTGGCGGCTGGTCAATAGGGGGCACTGATTCCACATTGATTTACAGTTTTGATTCTTGAATAATCTTTAGCTTTAAGATAGCTGTGATTGTCGGCTTGTTTCCTCTCATGTTATGCAACTCTGTGGTTTGTAAATCAGTAATCGTAGCCCAGAGCATCTTGATATTTTTATTTGAACGCGCTGCTTCTGCAAGAATGCGATGGATTCGCCGAGACAGGGAACAAAACTAGTCGGGTACGATGTAAAACAAGAGCATGACATAACAAGCTGCAGTCAAGTCACTGAAGACCCAATGATGTGAGAACAAAAAATACATTCAGCAATTTTATACCACACACACACACACACACACACACACACACACACACACACACACACACACACACACACACACACACA